AGACAAACGATAATTTAAGGGTAAGTTCATACAAATTGATTGTATCGTTATTTATAACACTTTAATAATATTTCTTTAACACCTATTTCATCACTTGCAGGTCTGGCAAAATAAAGAACTAACATACTTAGTTCAAAATGCCGGATATATTATTTCAATTCATGAGATAAATGAAAGATGTATACTGACAGTAACACGAAACGGTATAATAACACTTTGGAATATCAATAATACGAATTGGGTACGACGAGACAGCGTAACCAATGGTGGTTCGGACATCATCACTACTTTTAGTTGCTTGAGTTGTAGAAAAATTATTCTAGCCGTATTAAATGACGCGGGAGATGTAGTTTTATACAAACTACAAGAAGATACGATAACGTTACCAGCGTGTATAAAAATTACTGAATATTTCAGAACGAGATATACACAAAAACTGACGTGTTGTGAAATCTCACAAAAAGAACAATATGTAGCTATTGGCTTTGAAAACGGAGATATTTCCGTAAGTACACGGTATAAATTTATCGTTTCTATAACTATGTTGAAACTATCAATAGAATTCATACCATCGTATACTTTCAGATTATTGATATATCAATACGAGAAGAAATACATAAATTATGTTTTCATACAACGGCTGTTACTCAACTATATTGGGCTCCTTCCATAATCGACGTCCCTGTTTTACTTTCCGTAAATTCAGATGAAGTAGTGTGGTGGAATATTGCGTTGACTATCCGCACGCATAAGCAACAAAAAAGGCTCAGAAGCAAAATTAAGCATAGTATTAGTTCTCCTGCTGTCTGTCAAAGTGCAAATGTTGGCTTACATATGTCTACTAGCTGCAGTGTAGACTCAAATATGTACAGTATGCAACCTCAAGTGGAGGATAATACTACTATGAATGGTGTCCATAAACTAAGTAAGTATTGGAAATTTATCGAAGGTAAAAATCCACAACAGCCAGCATTATTAGCTGTTGTCGAATTACCTTCGAATTTTCTTGCAAAAATATGCATATCTACCGATTTTACAAAGTTTGTTACAGTTGATATATATGGATCCATTAGCACATTCACATTATGTGGATATAATTAACCATGACTACTGTAATTAAAGATTCCTATAATGAATATTTTAAAGTTTGTTATTGTAAAGGTGCAATAACTGTAAACATTATCAAAAATATGAAATGTTTTTTATACAATTTTTACTTGTGATTAATTAGAATAACAAGTTGATACTTGTAAATGGTAGATATGGTTATTATATCAAAGTGAAATATTTCATGAATAGGGAAGTACAATATAGATAATATTAGATAGGTTGATGGTTTATACCAATTAAGTTTTAAGATAAGTGAATTTGCATACAACTTATATTGACTGATGCTCAAGACTATGAGAAATACGTAAACTTATTTACAGTAATCCTATCTCTACTGCCACTTGCATTTACAAGAAAATTAATGGATCTCTTACTTTTACACATCTTTACATGTGTAAAAGAACAATCACAATTGCATTTTTGACTGTTTTTTTTTATACTGTACTTTTAAAATCATAAGATTCTCTCGAACATTTTGCAAACCGTTCATCCTACACGTTTCAAAATATTTGTGCTATTGAATAATATTTCTCATTATGGCGCATCGCCAAATGAAATTCGCGCATTTTATTCTACTTAATGTTTATACGGAAGTTCTTTTTTTACTTACATCGAATAATCATACTTATATTACGATTTGTGTGTGTATACATTACAAATTTATTTCGTAAGTCTTATTGCAATATAAAATAAATATAATTGTAAATACCAAATGGATAAGATATATTTAAATCGTATAACGTTGAAATTTTATTTCATTTCGATTTAGTGCTATCCGATAAAAAAAAATTCATACATAAGTATGATTATTAACATAGAAGAGATGTTTTCCTTCAGATAGGTAATATGTCTTCAACAAAAAAATTGTTTAAAAGTAGATTTTTCTTATTTGATGAAAAAAAAGAATTATATATTTAGAGTAAATTAAAAAAAAATTTCAGTGAATTTTAAAATGTTTATTAATTGTTTATATCTGATAAATTGTGAAAAACGTTCATATCTTTAAATTTCGTTTGTTTTCAAATTATATAATATTTTCTATTTTTAATTTGAACTACGTGCCTTAAGTGTATGATACACATGTTTAAAGGGGAGTAAACACAAGTGTTCATAAATTGTACGGAATGTTTAATATATCTGTATATTCTAATTGTAAATTTACCTGCCAATTTATGACATTACTCCCTTCAGGATACATTTATATTACATATATATTTTATATGCTACATATAAAAACTCAAATAAATCCTAAAAATATTTGGCACGTACGTGCATAGTCGGATCGATCAAAATTTAGTATGGAATATATTTATTATTTCCTCCGTAATCGAACAACTTTTTGATAAGTTATTTTTATACAGTATCCTTTATTTCAGTGCCTCGATTTTCTCAACTTTACTGAACTATTCGATCTCATATTACTGTACTATTAGGTCATCTTATAAATTCGTGTCGATTTTTGCATCAATATTTTAAATATACTAAATTAAAAGACATCCAGAAAATTTCTTATCGTTTCAGTAAAAGTTTTTTACTATTCAACGATCTTACGATCGATAGCATTTTCTTAAAACCAATCTCGAACAGCAGTGCATTTATCTCTTATTGCTGTGTCTAAAAAGGTAAACTATCGCGAATGCATTAGACACGAAATTTTTGGTTGACCTAATATTAGTTAATGTTCCAACATTAAAGATAAGAATATCTAGTATAAGAGAACAGTGGTATGTAACAGATGATGTATATGTATGCAATTATTTTATACAAATTATGTTATAGAATATTACATGTTTATTCGCATGTATTCTATGCGTGCAATCGACCGTGATCACGTATACATCGAAATGTTTATCAATATTGTGATATCGGAATACATACGACCATGTGTATTCCTTAAACGAAGTGCAGTTTACGGGAAATGCGAACAATAGTGACGCCCGCCAGCGGCGGCAACCATGTTTGTTCTGTAAACATGAAAAGTTTGCATTCTCTCGTCAAGCTCAATTTTTTATACCACTTATTGTATTACTTTCGAACCTATGTATTTTAGTTGATGCTACAAAAAGTGTATGTATTTTAACTCAAATAAAACTATGTAAATACATCCTCGCTTTCCGTGTTCCCACGAGATCAACGGACCCGTCGCAGGAAGTACGTTTATGGACTATATCGCAATGTATAATAGCTACACGTGGCTAACGTATTAATAGGGAACGAAGAGACTGACGTATGTACGACTTGGCACTAAACGAAGTGTCCAATTTTATCCTCTAGGCCAATGTCGGTTTACGTATTCTAGCATGTATATCGATAGTATTATTATCAGAGAAACTTAGATCGACTTCATTGGCATACCTGAAGAGTTTCTTGTATCGAAATGTTACGCGTCGATGGAATGACGCTTGAAAAAGAATCGCAAGGTGAAACGGGAATGTAAACTCATTTCACAAACTAGGAAAGGACAACTGGCTTTCAAAAAAGGACAAGTATGTCACGACGAACAGATACAAACGTTAATCTTCTAAAATAGTTAATTTTATTCCTCACCTATTATTCGATGAAAAATGTTGCTTATCCCCGCGCGCGCGTGTCGGTGTATCAATGACGAATAACAAACATAGCTCGTCTACGGTTGAATCAAAGGCTGAGATAATTTATAAAACAGTGCTGTAGTCGATACTATCTTTACGTTGCGATTTTCAAATATAATCTTATCTATCTTCCCATATCGCGATATATCGGATAGAACGTCAGGAATGTAGCCGTATGAAAAATGTAATTTGGTGATAGCGGAGATAACATCGATACGATTTTATAAATATGTACATTTTATAGCGTCAGTAGGATTATCTCCTCACAGACACGTGGTTATATCGTTTACAATCAGCAGTCGTTGAACGCCATAAATAATTATGTAGTAATTACTGGTGGATAATGGGTTGGTCCATGAATTCTTTATTTTGAAAGCTCTAAATTATATATGATAACAATTTCATGATATACAGGGTGTCCCAAAACTCGGGGAGGAGCCGGAAATGGGGGGTA